CACGCACACTACACGCAAACTACATACAGTAACGCACCTTCTTCACACTCCAGCAGCTCGGAGCATCCCGCGCCGTCGTTACTAGCACCGGCACATACACACACACCACACACACAAACACACACGCGTACGCACACACACCTACGAAAACACATACACACACCTACGCGCACACGTATACACACCTACGCACACACGTATTCACACATGTAAGCACACACTTACGCACACATGTACGTATGCACGTACGCACACGCGTACGCATACACGTACGCACACACGTTCACATATACACGCGTAAGCACACATAAACGCGCGCGCGCACGCACGCACACGCTCACACACCCCTCACTTTGCCTCTCCACCCCATTGCGTTGTCTTATCTACTGTTGTCTTGTTAACCGAATCGACTCACCCCTTTATAATATAAAAAATGTTTTTTTTATTGCTTGAATAATGTAATTAAAACATATTTTTAAGTTTTTTTTTAATAGAAAAGGGTGCAAACGAGCATGTGGCTCACCTGATGGTAAGTGACAACTGCCGCTCATGAACAACCGCAACACCAGGGGAATTGCAGGTGCGTTGCCGGCCTTTTAAAAAGGACTAGGTAAGCCCTTTTCTTTAAGGTCCCTAAATCGTATCGACCCGGAAAAATCGCCGGTGGTATATAATTCCACAGAAAAGTTGCCCGAGTAATAAAACTCCTAGTAAAACGCACAGTAGTGGACCGCCAAGCATCCAGATGGTATGGATGGTATCTTGAATTTTGACGCGATGTGCGTTCATGAAATTTGGCGGCTGGGATTAATCCGAACAATTCCTCAGAGCACTCCCCGTGGTGGATGCGATAGAAAATGCAAAGGGATACAACATCCCTACACAGCGTCAGTGAATCAAGGCGATCAGAAAGAACTCGGAGTTGGCACTGATATGCCCCGGCCCAGAGATGAGATCAGTATTCCTTGTGAGGCGCTTTGTAAAGTTGCAAACGATGTGCCGGCATGAAATACTGTAGTGCTCTGCTGAGCACGCCAAGCTTTTTTTTCTTTTCCAAGTGAGCATGAAACTGCACACTATTCGGTAAGTCGGCGCCGAGGATTCCGATACTAGCTGAGGCAGGATGAGGAGTGCCTTGAAACTGAGAAGATACGATAAAGGGGTTCTTTTTAGCAGTAAACGCGCAAACTTTTGTCTTCTGGGGATTGAACTGGACTAGATTTAGTTGCCCCCAATCCGAGACATTGTTCAGCAAAGACGCGACTTCAGACACAATTTCAACACGTTTCGTGTTTCGTGACACGTTTGCAATTTCAACACGTTTTCCCGAGAAATATTGGCACGGCCGGTGTATAAGGCATCACCAGTGCTGTCGTCTGCATAGCAATGAATGTTACCAGTTTGCAACATATCATTGATATGCAGAAGAAAAAGCGTTGGTGATAGCACGCAGCCTTGTGGAACACCAGCGTCTGTAGGCTTGTAATTAGAGCATGCACCGGCTACTACGACCTTGATGCTCCGATCAGCAAGGAAATTGATGATCCAAATGCACAATTTCTCGAGAAGCCTACAGGAAGGGAGCTTCGAAAGAAGCTCTTTGTGTCAGACCCGATCGAAGACCTTCGCTATGTTCAAACTAACGGCCAATGTCTCCCCCTTGGACTCTACTGCCTCCGCCCATCTATGAGTCAGGTAGACCAGTTGCCAGCTAATCAACCACAACGAAAACTGTATTGGCGGTCATTAATCAGCTGGTGATCCTCAAGGTACTTCATGAGCTAGCAGTTTAAAATAGACTCCATTATTTTGGAGAACAAGGAGGGGATGGCGATAGGCCTGTAGTTAGACGGGTCTAAGCGGTCGCCTTTTTTAGGGATCGGGTGGAACAAAGCTGTCTTCCATGAATTAGGGACTACGCCTTGAGAATAGGAGTACCGGAAAAGACGCGTTAAAACCGGTGCCAACGCCGGAGCACACGCCTTCAGCAGAATGGGAGGGATTCCATCAGACCCACTTAACTTGCTGACGTCCAGGGAGAGGAGTCCTTTGCGAACCGAGCGCTGTGTGTCGAGTCGAGTGGTACGCAAAGAGAGAGCCTAACAGATCGGCTTTCTCCTTCGCGGTATGGGCCAGTAAGTCATCCTCTCTGTGCAGAGATGGAAGAGATGACTGACAGAAACTCCCTTGGACAGCCTTAGCAAGAGACCAGAATGCACGAGTTCCCAAAGGAAGGCGAACTAGTTCCTCGCCAATTCTGCCGATGTACTCAGACCTTGCCTTGGCAATGATTCTTTTGAAGGACCTGGATGCGGAATCATACTTCTTTTTATGAGCGCTGGTATTTACATCCCGAGACGTTGATGCGTCAGCCTAGGTCCGGTAGCACTCCTGCTTATAGCGTGATGCTATTTTAAAGGAGCGACCAAACCATGGCTGGGATCTGCCTCCGATGGGCACCACAGAGGATGGAATAAAAAGTTCCATACCCTGAAGTACCACATCAGCAACAGAATCAGCAACAACGCTGGGATCGTCCGGCAAGAAGCAACCCACCAAGCGTGGGATGCAAAAAAGGCCGCACCCTATCGTAATCGGTCGACCTATAGTGCCAAACACAGCAGCTCGCAAGCTTGCAGAATGTAACCTCGACGTTAATGTGACTGGCACCACAATCCGGACAATATAATGATCCGACGAGCCCTGAGGGGCGTCAACGGAAATCTGATATCCGTCCGGATGAGAGGCCAGCAAAAGGTCCAACAGGGAAGGTGTATGATCTTCCACATCTGGGAGCCGCGTAGGCGAAGTAACCAATTGTGTCAAACTATATGCCAAGGCAAAGTCATAAACAGATGGGGACATCTGTTGATGTCATATAATCGGTTAAAAGTGAACCGAGCCATTCGGCATGGTAGGCATTAAAATCGCTAAGGATCACGATCTCTGCGGATAGGATCTGCTTTAGCATGGACTCTGTAGCCATTTGAACGTAGTCGATAAGTCGGTCTGTTTTTACATTACCGCTATGCGACCTATATAGGCAAGCGTGCCAGGGGTCGCCTTGATGTGCTCCGTTTGCCCCGAGCAGTTTTAGTCGCGAGTGAAATTGCGGAATTGCCCCTCCCCCCTCCGCAATACGCGGGGCAGCCTCAGCACCCGCGCTCAAGACGAGTAGGATAACTTGTTCGTGCTCAGCGAGCGTCACCAGGGAAGCTAGAACTCTCCTGGGGTAGTTCCCTTTATTGATTCCGCCACCATGTTAGGGGGAGGGGGAATTGGACCTCCCGCCACTTGCACTACCCAGACGAAACGCAGAGGAAGGTATAGGTATAATTCACGATGGTATTCTGTGAGGTCGTTTGCGTACATTTATGACAAATGACATTATATACAATTTGTTTGTGCTTCTTTGCAGTTGTATTATCTTTGATTATATCCTATGATTGGTGGACTATGTAGTGTGTGTGTGTAGTATATGCTAATGTAGGTAGGTATATATACGATAGCCTAATAGACATTCATTGAGTAATAAATCTACAGTCAAGAACATTTATTCCCCGAACCTCCCAAAATTACGTAGCGACCCTGCCAGGCAGTGCGCTGCTACAATGCAAGCGCACCGCCGGGACCTGCATAGAAAATGAAGTAATTTATTGAAGAAAAAAAGAAATCAAAATTTAAGCTATTGCATAGCTTCTATCGCGGGCCTTGAGCGCGGGGACCGAATCCAGAAATTCCGTAACGAAAAAAAACCTCACGCTCCCCACTCCGAAGCGCACGGAGGTGTGGCGTTAAAAGCCGTCTGCATCAGCATCGTCTAACGTCGTTTCAGTTCGGCAGACTTCGGCACTCGGCAGAATTCGGCACGGTGTTTGTGTGGATGCGACTAGACGTATGCGTGTACACTAGCTGCTAACTCAATGATAAAAATTCCTGAATAACCTACATGTATTGTAAGATATTAAAAATATTTTAAACAATATTAACTTCTCATTTATTCAATAAGAGAAAAAAAATTGTTTTCTTATCGGTCACCACGCTCAAAAAGTGTAACTTGATTTAATATCAAAGACTTAACTGCATAAATAAAATAAATAAATAATTATAATTGCATAAGTTGATAAAAAATGCTATGCAATAGCTTTACCGCGGCAGTCACCGAGTGCCACACGTATTTTTTTAATAATAATATTTTTTGCGCTCGTTTGTTACAAGCTGCAGCTTGCGGGACGCGCGTCTCGAGCGGGGTGAGGAACCGGTTAGCGTTGCGCGGGAGGTGTGGCGCTCGTTATGTGCACGCGGCGCTGCCAGCGACCGACCCTGGCTGTCGGCCGGGATCTTTGGAGCGCTGAGGACGCGCCAGTAGGGGTCGCGAGATTAGACTAGAAAATTCTATTTGCGCGACGCCCGGGTCGACCAGAGGTCGCGGGTTTTTTTTATAACAATTACCGCGTCGAAAAGACGGCCTCCATGGTGTTGTATTTTGTCGTGACAACGAGGCTTATTCTTGAGTTTTATTTGCGGGACGCCCGGGTCGATTATACGTCGCGAGCCTCTTACAGTGTTATCTTAATTTGTTTCGTGATAACGAGGCCGGAATCATATAGTTATTTTTGGAACCGTTTGCTTACAGTCCTTGCCGGGCTGCAGTCCCGTCAGCGGTGCCAAAAGACTGTCGGTATATCGAAGTGCTGAAGTGTTTGTACAGTAGACCCGTCTTTTTTACATTTTTATTTATTTACATACATAATATTGCAATTATTGAAATTAATATTGTAATGAATTTTGAATAATAAAGAAGATTGATTTATGCGACTTTATTGATAATTCATTAGAGTTTTAGAAAATTTTATCGTAAATAATAAAAAGTATTGTTTATTTTTAAAAAAATTGTCATGTTATACTAACACTAAAAAATTAAAGGTGTCGGGCCTTTTTACCAACCATATCCAGCTAACCTCGCTGGTCTGTTCGGCTTTTCGGTTTTAAGATCTGGCAACCCTAACCGGTACCAAGTAATTCTCACTAAAGCTACTGACTAGAAAGTGTAGAAGAGAAGTAGTAAGGAGTACAGACTGTGTATTAAAAAGTGTCCATAACAACCTTTAAATAAGGGTAGCGCCACTATAGCTACGGGGTAAATTTTAAAGAACGCACCGAAAAATACTAGTGGGATAGACGACTTTTTCGAGGTTATATTTACTAAATAAAATTATTTTAGATTTTAGAGCTACTGAGCAGTTTAGCAGCACACTTAAACCGTCGATAACTGCTAAGTTCATTTCATCCCAGTAGCTACTCCAGCGCTATTGTGGAGAGTTTTTGAGCTGTTATTTACTGCTTACAGATGCCCGCTTTTTCAACTATTCTACTATGGGAGTTGGTACTCCTTACTTCTACACTACACACTACTGATATTAAATTTGTACAGAATAAAAACCGCAAACTTGACACTGTTATAGAAAAGGAAAGTACTAAAACAAGCTTAATATATATTGCTTTTATGGCGTCCACACGATTATACTCGTACGAGCTAACGAATATATTATTGGAGTTTTGACGAAACAACAAACCACATAATACCAACCCCCAAAAAATCCCCAACCAACTTTAAATTCCCCGCAATGTAGGGAAATCCCCACATGTTGGCAACGCTGAACATGTCTAAATTGCACAGTGCAAAGCGACAACTCGGCCGGGCGGCGGTAGCACGTGTGTGAAAAGGCAGGGTAGATTGAGCGAAGTACAGTAAAACCTAATGCATTGTTTCGTATCGAGCTAGATAAAAAAGTTTAGCGTCCGCGCGTTTATTCACCCCATAATCAGCTGGTTTCATTTTAATTTTTACTGTTGGTTTTATTTTTCAGTATTTTCATGATTTTTTTTAATGAAATTATCGTTTCATTTATCTGTACTAACATGATGGATCGTGATTAAAGGTAATAAAACGTTGTGAAAATACGATTTTTTTCGGGATCGGTTTTCTTTCTGTCCCATCATCAATGTTATTGGTAGTATTATCGTCGGTCTTCGTTATCGAGAGTTTCACAAACACCCGGCATACTTACATACGTCTACCACCACACAATGAGCATTTTGGATGCTTACACGGATATAATGATATTTAAAAAAAACTAATTTAGATAACAGTGTTATCTTAAAGCCTAAAGATCAACCTTTCAAAATAATATATATTTTATAAGTAGTACCCTTTATATTTTCGTAAAAAGTTACACTTTGTTTACACATTTCCTGAGAGCGACCTGTTTGCGGATGAATGGACGGTAAAATTGTTTTGTGAGCGAGAAGAATGAATATGTCATCTTTAATTAATGTAATTGGTCTAACCGTTTTAAATAAAGTAAAAAATATATAAATTTTGTAGAGGTTAGTCGATTCAGTTGCTCGCAAGAGTATATGATCATAAAAATGTGATAATGTTATAGGGGCCTTATACAACATGGTTCATAAAGTAAGAATTGTATGTATAGTACAAGAGCGGCAATTGAGAACAAGTGCGTGTGACTGTGGTGCGGCAGTAGTACGTGCAGCGCGCTAACCTGGGCTGTCGGGCACGGTGTCGAAGTGGCAGTTGAGCAGCAGCGCCGTGCGCGCGCGCCGCCCGCCCGCGCCGCTCGCGCGCGCCACCACGCTCTGCACGTCGCGGTACACGTTGTTCATGCCTGCCACACGCACACGCGTCGTCAGATAAATACATGATGCATACAGTATGTAACAAAAACCCTGTTGCTCGTTTCAGGGACGTATAGGTGTACACATAGGCATCGCAATTATGATAATGAAAATTTTTTTTGGTTGCTTTAAATGGGGTTTTTGGGTTTCTAATTAGATAACTTAAGAAATATAAAATTTCTAAAAATGTTATTTGCTTCTGAACTTACCGACACGTGCCGACGTAATATTATCTACGTCACAGAATAAATAATAGTCTATGGCCGCTAAGAGGTCACTGACACGGCCGACTCGAAGCAAGCCGCTAAGCGGCGCTTCTCCAAGGTTTTTGTGTAAATCCTTATACCTATCTAGACTCAGTTATTCTCCGAAAATTTTAATTTAAAAATAATAGAAATTATAATGAAAACTTTTCATAGCAAAATGTTATTTCAAGCATAAAATATCGCGATTAATTAATTCTATTTGTAGGAGAAATGCAGTATGTATTTTTCATATGAAATATTATTCGATAAAAAATATGTAGTAGTAATTATTTTTTAAATAAATTCATATTGTTGTTTATTGCTAGATTATAATAAACAAAATAAAATGAATATAGGTAATATATACGCGGCGTTTAGCGCGCTCTTTGAACTCAAAACCGAATGCCGACGAAGGACAGCTACTAGGAAAAACCCAAAAAACTCCACTCATCGAGTGATAAAAAGTAGCGTCCACTTTATGCCGAATAACTAATTTTGATCCAATATATTTATTCTGCTGTGCTAATATTTAGTAGTAATATTTAAAAACATGGGAAGTTTTATAAATATAAAATTTTGTCACAATTAAGTGGTCAAGAAAAGAAATAAAAATAAGTATTGTTTATCATCGGTCGATAAAAAATTCTAATTATTAGATTTTGAAAAACACAGCAGCATAACAGATTAAGTATTTGTTATTGTGTGAATTTATACCACAATTTTTTAAATGTTTATTGTTATAAAAGTGTTTTAATGTATTTTTACTAATCCTAGCTATAATTTAATTAAAAATAATGTTAACTTCAAAACACAGTTAGTTCATTCTGCGTAGATCGGACCAAAGACAATAATTAAAAATCTAAAGGTACTCCATGTTAACTTTGACATAGGAACGTCCGTCACCTCAGTCCCCCGTGACCATGGGTGCTGGAAAGCACCTGAAACGTCGGGTATTAAAAATAAAATAAATAAAACGCGATAATGTCCGTAAAAGTAGTTTTAATCAATAAATAAAACTAAATTTACGGATTTTATCGCGTTTAATTATCTTCGCGTAAATTTAAGAAATCATTATATAACTTAATTTCTTAATAACACTTACGGGCACTGTCTGAAGTAAATAAATAATAACTATTATTAAAAAATAACAAAAAAATGACAAATTTTGCTATCGATTTAGAAAATATCAAAATTATGTTATAGGGTACAATAGCTTTGCCACGTCCATGCACGTAACAAACAACAAGCACCAGTAGCGCGTTAGCGCTGATATTGATGGTTGTGTTTTATATTGCGAAATTAATATTCCGCCGTGAGTGACTTGTGTGCGATGTCTTCTTACTCAAACGAGGAATATTTTAATATGTTGATGTGTCTCGGGAAATCTAAATGCAATTATTCAGCAGCACGAAGACTTTACGAGGAGTGCTTTGCTATTCCACGAAATATAAAATTGCCGTCGGCGATGACGTTCCAACGACTTCACATTCGTATGTACAATACTGGCAGTGTGCATGGCCGTGATCAACATCGTACAGATTCAGGAAGACCGAGGATGTACGACGACGACATCGAGGAGCACATTCTCGACATGTTTGAGGAAGATGCGACTCAGAGCACGCGTTCGGTGGCACGTGAACTAGGTGTGAACCATATGCGCGTTTGAAGAGCCCTCAAAGATGATGGCCAGCACCCGTATCATTATCGTCGAGTTCAGTGTCTTCTTCCCAACAACTACGAGCCGAGAATGGATTACTGTAGATGGTTACTCGAAAAGGTTGAAGGAGATCCTGATTTTTTGAACCGCGTACTTTTTACGGATAATGCTCTTTTGTTACAACAGGTGTATTTAACGCTCATAATGAACACGTATGGTCAACGACAAATCCGCATTCGTATAAACCAAGCCACTTTCAACACCGATGGAAAATCAATATGTAGGCGGGAATTATAGGAGAAAAAATTATTGGTCCGTATTTTCTTGGCTACACAATGAGCGGTGAAAACTACGAACGTTTTTTGCGAGAAAAACTAAGCGATGAACTTGACGAAATAAATTTAGACCTCGTTCGTGGCATGTGGTTTCAACACGATGATGCACCACCGCATTTCTCCCGTTGTGTAAGAAGTTTTTTGGATACTGAATTCGGTGAAAGATGGATTGGCAGCGGTGGACCGATTAACTGGCCGGCACGATCACATGATCTCACACCTTCAGATTTTTATTTCTGGAGTACGATTAAGCAGACTGTATTCCGAAAAACATGCGATACCGAGGCAGAAATGCGTATGCGCCTTTGAAAAAATAAAGTGCGAAATGTCTGTTGCAACGCGTGCGTTCAGACATTATAAGCCGGTGTCACAAATGTACAGAGGTACAAGGTGGACATATTGAACAGCATCTCCATGGTCGTCAAGTAGACATAGTGATAAATTAGTGTTTGACTATAACAGCTGTGATGTGACGAGGTCACGACCTCAGTGTGCAGTGAGTCTAGATAAGACGCGCGCGCGCGCGGGGCATCTTTTATGTACGTCACCGCCGGCTACCGCCCGTCACTGTCGATAATTCCAGGCAGAGGTAATCAATCCACATAAAATTTACAAATATTATTTCATTAAAATTTAATTTGATTATTTTTATGTAGAGTTTTCTGAAGTAAAGTTATTTCTATACGCTTGAATATGATAACTAATGAAATGAAGTGATAACGCACTTAACGGGAATAAATATATATTTCTCGGCACCTGCGCCGTTGCACGTGCAACAGCGCCTCTGTGGCTAGTCGGAATTGTAAACAACACGTGCACCGCACACCTGCACGCTGTACCTGCAGTGGCGCTCGTATAGCTACTTGTCTCGATTTTATAAAACGGACGGAGCGACCGCCGTTATGGCAGTCTTGGCTCTGGCGTGGCTCGGTGTACTTGTTGTTTTTTTTTTTTTTTATAGAAGAAGGGGCAAACGAGCATGCGGCTCACCTGATGTTAAGTGACTACCGCCGCCCATGATCAACCGCAACACCAGGAGAATTGCGGATGCGTTGCCGGCCCTTTAGAAAGGAGTAAGCTCTTTTCTTGAAGGTCCCCAGGTCGTATCGGTCCGGAAAAATCGCCGGTGGTAAACTATTCCACAGAGAGGTTGTACGCGGAAAATCCCGTTACTATCTCATCCCGCTACTAGCTCATCCTAGACTCTTTGTATCCCGCTACTAGCTCATCCTAGACTCTTTGTATAATGAATTCGTGGAAACGAATTATTATTCTCAGCTATTAGTCTCATGACAATTTATAGTTGATTATTTGTGATCCATGTATTTTCTTATTGAAAATTATATATATAGGGAAGCTGGCTATGGCGCGACCTCTCACTAGTTAAGTGAAGGACTTCCTAAGAGATACAAGTAGTCGATGGATGCAAGTGACCTTTGTGACACTCCTTGTGAAGGCCTATGTTCAGCAGTGGATTTGTGGGGTGGTATGATGATGAATATGAAGATGATGATCATGATGATGAATTTGTAAACATAAACTTATAATAAAGGTAATGCGTGCATATGGATTATGTTTATCGTTAAGTTACAACCTATATACGTCCCACTGCTGGGCAAAGGCCTCTCCTCATTTCTGAGAGGGTTTTAGGGCAAGGAAGCTTCGGCTTGTTGGTCGCCTTTGGCGACCAGCCTCAGCCGCTGCGGCTCACTTAGGTGCCTGCGATTTGCTACAGCGGACGGGGGCTGTTCTCTCTCTGTGCCTACGGCTTTACAAAAACACTCTAAGGGTAGGGCAGACAAGACTACGTGGAGTCGGGTTGTGCTTATTCGGTTTTAAAACCGATTCGACCAATCTTATCTATAAAGCCTGGTTGCCCTAAGCTCTGCTATGATAGTGGTAAATGAAATAATGTAATGTGAGTTGTTACTCGTATAATTTTGTTTTCTGAAAAATCTCTTGACTACTCTCCACTGCGACTCAATCTGTTGTATATAGGTCCCGTCTCCAGCCACAAATGAATTGTCTGGGTCCGAGTGAGTAACTTTTTTATGAGTGTACCCGTGTTAAAAAAACAAATTGACATATTTGCGTTTCGCTATATGCAATTTTTAGTGAAATTTATTTTTATTGCAATTAAGTCAAAAGGCATTCCCGCAATCCAAAAACAGTGTAAATGTTTCGAGGTTAACCCTGAAAATCCTCCTAAAGTGAAAAAAGTAAAAGTAAAGTTACAGCCTATATACGTCCCACTGCTGGGTACAGGCCTCCTCTTATATCTGAGAGGGTTTTAGGGCAAGGAATAGTCCGCCGCGCTGCCCCAATGTATGTTGGAGGACTTCACATGTCTTCGAAATAATTTTTTTCTTATTTCTCAGACATGCAGGTTTCCTTACGATGTTTCCCTTTACCGACGAGCACGTGGTAAATCAGCACTTAAAATTGCAGTTAACAATTTCATTGGTGCCGGCGGGGATCGAACCCGGTTTGCTTGCGTATTGTGAAATTTACAGCGAGCGCTAACCATCTGAGCTACCACGGCTCCCTAAAGTGAAAACAAAATTAAAAAATCAATTACCGGACATATCTACTTCATAATACGAGAACAAATTGACATATTTGCGTTTCGTTATTACACAATTTTTAGTGAAATTTGTTTTTATCGTAATTAATTCAAAACATATTTCCGACATCTAAAAACAGTGTATTAGGTTCAAGTTCAACCCTAGCCTTCTGGACTAAAAACATTATCAAATCAAGTACCGGATGTCTATAGCCATTCCTAAAACTATATGATGGTTATTCCCTACTAAGTGATGTAAGTCATTAAAAGAAACTAAGAACAGAAAGGGGCCATGAATTGAGCGCTGAGGAACACCCATAGATACTACCGATCCGGAAGATAAATACTGTTCACTTGTTCTGCTTAGATCGGTCTAAAATAAATATTTTTAGCTTATTAGTTTAATGCCGCCTAGTGGCGGTGCGAAAATATCCACTACCCCTAATTATCATCCCGTCGGTGTCGTAAGAGGCGACAAAGAGAAAAGATCAGCAGATGGGTAGCAGCGCCTTCCTAATAACGACTAAAAGTAAAAAGAACTGCGGTTGCCAACCAGCTTGCCACTATGGCTGTGGCAACTATGGCAAATATGTCCCCTATGACGCAATCTATGCAGGAGGCCTTTGTTCGGAAGTAGACTTTGATAGGCTGTAACGGTACCGGTAATTAGTTTAATATAGCGTGTAGTATTAGAGTAACATTTGTGTCGTGGCTTATCGCTGGAGGACCCAAGCACTATGCTCAATGACCTCAATAGTGTCTCCCAACGAATAGGTCTTAAGTTAAACGTGAACAAAACGAAAGCTATGTGTAATGTCCATGTCACACCCATGCCAGTGGTTGTTGGGAGCACTAAGCTTGAAGTTGTTGACGAATATGTTTACCTGGGACAAGTAGTCCGACTAGGTAAGTCCAACTTCGACCGAGGGGTCAATCGCCGGATTCAACTCGGTTGGGCAGCGTTCGGGAGATTGTGACCTTCATTGTGATCTTCTTGTCAGACATACATCAAAATCTCAAAACTAGATTGTAAAACCAGTGCGTGTTGCCAGTGATGACCTATGGATCTGAGACGTAGTCCTTCACTGCAGACCATATGAGGAAGCTCAAAGTCACTCAGCGAACTATGGAGAGGGCTATGCTCGGAGTTTCACTGCGTGATAGACTTAGGAATGAGGATATCCGCAGTAAAACCAGAGTGACCGACGTAGCCCAACGGATTAGTAAGCTGAAGCGGCAATGGACCGGCCACATAGCTCGAAGAACCGATAACCGATGGGAAAAACGTTCTTGAGTCAGTCAGCCTCTTATCGGCAGTGTGGCATTCCTTGGGGGAGGCCTATGTTCAGCAGTGGATTTGTGAAGGGCTGTAATGATGATGATGATTTGGGTAACATAACAAATCATGATTGCTATTTAAAAGCACATAAGTACTCGATTTTTAAATTTTTGGTGGCGTGAGCTGTGCATTTAGTTTAATTGCCGTTTAAACGTAAATAGTCTATGTTAACACACTCATTTGGATCACGATAATTTGATACGATACTTGCCTAAATTTGTTTATCGCATCGCAATAAATATAAACGAATACTAAATGTTAACTAATTGACGTTAACCGCGCGTGTGCTAACGCAGGTATCGCATCCTTGCCGAATGCACTAACAAATTAGAAAATCGCCTCTAATAAAGCCAATTCGTGTACACTGGCGCCCCAATTACGCAGCTCCCTCGTGAACTTTTCATTATCATCTATGCAATGAAATTTCTTCACTGCAGGTGTCGGTAGTAGTAGGTGTATATATATTCATAGAAGCCTATTTCGCTAATCATCTATTACAATAGTGCTAAAGTTGTTGCTACAAAAATATTAGGCTCAGGTGTTACAAAAATAAATAAATTTGTACTTCCATGCACAAAATAGTACATATGGCGGACTTAATGCCAGGCATTTTTTATCCTACATTTTTTTTTGCTGCTTTTATCTTTAAGAGATATGCCAGCCCCATCGATCCCTAAAATGTTTGTTACATTTTATAGTGGTAATATTTAGACCAGTTCTTAAGCTACAGTTATCCAATAAAAACAACCGACTAATGGGGAATATTTACACGGGGTCATAGAAATATTGTATATTGGTATCTCACAGAACAATAGCGTAAAATAACAGTTTAATGCTCATTGAAGTAATATGTACTTACGTACTAGAACAGCTACCTCAAACAAAAAATGTGCGCTACTCTGTGTTCGCGCGTTTGGTTTTTTTATCATAGAATAAACATAGGTAGAATGATCCGTAGGTAATAGTAGATTGTTTTGTTAAATAGCTAAATTATACCGAGAACAATATTTAAATTTTGTCATTTATTTTGTATATTATATTTGTTTATTTAATATAATATTACATAATATTATATCACAATCACGTTTTAATGATATTTTTATCTGAATATTTTAAAAGGTATCTATGTTAAATATAAAAAACATACTAAATGTATGTTTAACAAAACTTATTAACATAAAATTTAAATTACAAATATATTTATTTAAATTAGAATCATAAATGCTGTAAATAATCGTTCATAAATGCTGGGCACGCGAGAGTTAAAAATGGACGAATTTATTCCACTTTGACTTTGAAGTGGAAACCTAAAAATAAAATAAAAGAATAGTAAGCAGATTTAAACATGAAAAATTTAGCCTTATTATAGTAACTTATATGTTTCTACAAAAAAATGTGTATAATAATATATTATTCGTCCTATACTTAAGTACCCACCGAAATGTCGCATCTGAATATATTAATTTCATAATCTATATTCAATGATACGAGATGGCGGCTTAGGAATAATTTTTTTTATTATTAATTTATAATACTTTTTTATTGAATAAGTATCTTATTAACCGATGAAAAGTAATTCCTTGGTTTTTACTGACATTTCTTGAATTATTTGTGCAATATCTAAGTACACAAGACGGCATATTTTTATCAAGAGATTTTTTTTTTAAATCAACACAACACGTGACAACTCTACAAGCGCCTAGCGAGTGACTGAGTAAAGTGCAGTGCATGCACCGCAGTTGAGTGGAACAGAGTAGCTGAATGCAGTGTCTCCTCTAGTACGTAGTACATAATAGCTCAATGTTAATGCTGCTGTTTTTCGTATAGTGAGTGCAGAGAACCCGAGACATTTTTTACTGGAAACGAGGCTTAGTGACAGCGCATCTTCAATTTGAATCTTAATTGGGGATAAATGTAGATGTCTATAGGTATAGGTATTCACTTACCATCATGTGGAATGTGTGCTCGTTTGCGCCTTATTCTATAAAAAAATTAGTAAAAAGTCATGGTGGCTGACCATCGAGGAAGGAGAGCGGGAAGGCGCCGCTGGCGGTGTGTACGTCCAGCTCGAGTCGGTTGTGCGGCGACGCTTGGTCCGCGATCTCCCGCAGAGTATTCAGAATCCACTTCACGGCCACCACTTCATTCTCGTAGCTGCCCGCTACCTGCCAGAACGGGCCAGATTCACCCCTTAATCCCGTTTTTACCAAACATTAAATAACATTTACACATACTTTCACAGTTTGTTTTTTAAACTGAAGTGACAAACAAACTTACCTGCACCTTCAAAGAACGAGAACTCAAAGGAACGGAGGAGCAAGTGGACAATAAACTGGTGTGGACTAACTGTGGACTGTTTGTTTTGACAACTTGAAACTAAAATTTATACACTATTTATAACGTCGGGGAAAAGTTTCTTTGTATTTTATATACAAATAAAATGCGACAAGTAGTTTCGACAGTGCTCTCTTGTTGTTAATCTAACACTACCTAAAGAATTCTGAAGAGACCGAAAGCGGTGAAAATCTGAGGGTGCACCGTCAGGACTATATTCTGGATGCATTAACACTTCCCAACCAAGCTCTCTCAATGTATGCTCAGTGGCCGAACATGTGTGTGGTCCCCATCATCCTCGCCTGGGGCCTTGCAATTTTTTAGGTGCTGGAGAGCCATTCTAATCTCGCTCAGACTGACGTCCGGGATATCATCAGATTAGTGTCGGATAAGACTTGCTCTTAGATCGTTACACACATTTGCGGGTAGTTCCAACGATGATGTGTATAGCTGCTCATAGAACTTCTCAATCTCACTAAAAATCTCAGGTGTGCTAGTGGTGATGCTGCCACACTCTTCAGTCTTCAGTTTTGACAGTTGGCTCTTTACGGCACACAAATCTCTGGCAAAGACTATAGAGCCCTGGTTCCGCTCGACCGCTTCTTCAATACGAGCAGTATTAAAGTTGCGTAAGTCCCACCACATGCATTTGGAGATCTGTCTGCCCAGTTCCCTATATGCTGTCAAATCTGTTGAAGATTGCAGCTTTATTTCCCGTCTAACAGCCATAAGAATAAGTGTGATCGGAGAGTTTTTGTGTTGTTCTGCGGCGGTTCTTGCAGAACTTAGCTCCGACCGCATGGACAGTTTCCACGAACTTGTCATTCATATCGTCCACTGCATTGCAATCTTCTAGGCACTGAAAGCGGTAGCGTAACTCGAGCTGAAAGGTTTTGGGATTCTGGATTAGAGGACGAGGGGGACGGAGCGTTGACTTCATTAGACGAGACCTCTCCAACTTCGCGTTTAAATTCAGTGTGCCTCTAACCAATCGGTGATCGCTGCTAGTTTTCACCCTTGCGATCACTGAGACATCATTAAACAGTTGCCGTTTAGTCGTCAGAATAAAGTAAATCTCATCTTTTGTTCTTTTGTTCCGTCGGGGCTCGAACAGGTCCCATTTGTGTGGGGCCGCTTCTGGAAGAAAGAGTTCATCATAAAGAGTCCCTCTTTCTCCATGAAATCGGCAAGCTGCTGGCCTCTTGGATTCCGTTGCCCTATCCCATCTTTCGCTACCTTCAGCTCACCATTCATTCTTGTGCCTAGTTTTGCGTTGAAGTCTCCCATTAACACCGTATACTTTTGTAAGAATGCATGGCTCTAGAAATATCCTCATACATTTCCTCCACCTCCTCATAGGGATGTGCCGAGGTTGGTGCATACAGGTACGACCTTCACCGAATACCGAATACGTATATTCTAAGTATAAGGTACGCAACCCTCGTCGACACACATCCAATTTTTACAACGTTGTTAACAAGAAACTTGTGGACGATAAATCCAACACCACCATGGAACAGATGATATGCCTCCTGATATGATCCATGATAGCCCTCCCGGTGATAGAACAAGTTGCCGGATTCGAGAAACACCGTGTCCCCTCTCTCTTCGGACCTCGGATAATCCTATAATATTCCAGCGCAACTTGTCTATCTTTTCTTCCAGCTCCAGGATCTTCTCGTCAGTCCTCAGGGTGCGTGCATTAAATGTTGCTAGGTCGAGTCGTTGCAGGTGAAAACCGAACCTCCACCGGAGATTCTTAGCACCCCCTGCCCCGCCGTTACCATTGTCGCCACCGTAGCCAGGAATAGCGGGCCATCGGGGACTGGAGGCCGTTTATTTGTGTTGTTGCTCATAAGGGAAATATTGCCACGCTTGGCAAGCGGATTGGCAATCGCAGTTTTTTTCTGTTTGCTGTTATCAGGAAGGTGCTGCTGCCCATCTCCTGCCTGTTTCCCTCTGTCGCCTTTTACGAATCCTACGGGAAGATATGGAGTAGTGAATATTCTTAACCGACACTACACGGCCAGCTTCTTACACTTAACTATTACAAGATCACCACAACAACACAAACACTTGTTATCACTATCACTGTCTTCTTGGGCGGTGAATGTTCTTACGCTGTTATGTTAGGGTCTATCCTCTACTCAGTCGCAAAGTCGGTGGCCTCCTAAGCGGGCTTGAAGCGCGCTGATTGATGAACGATTATGTAGCAATGTGCGTGGCGTGCGGGGCATGCTCTCCTTACCATCCGTAACAAGGACTACCGATGCGTTTTCATGTCAGCTCGGACTAACTAAGATGGATTTTTTTAAATATAAGAGGGGGCAAACGAGCATGCGGCTCACCTAATGTTTAAGTGACTACCGTCACCCATGATCAACCACAACACCAGGGGAATCGCAGGTGCGTTGCCGGCCCTTTAGAAAGGAGTAAGCTCTTTTCTTGAAGGTCCCCAGGTCGTATCGGTCCGGAAAAATCGCCGATGGTAAACTATTCCACGGAGATCGTACGCGGAAGAAAACTCCTTGTGAAACGTACAGTGGTGGACCGCCAAGCATCCAGATGGTGTAAATGGTATCGGGACGTTTGCCGCGTAGTGCGTTCACGAAATTTGGCGGCTGGGATTAATCCGAACAATTCCTCAGAGCACTCCCCGTGGTATATGCGAAAGAAAATGAAGAGATGCTACATCTTTTCGCAGCGCCAGTGAATTGAGCCGACCAGAATGAACGGGTTCCAGAAGGAAGGCGAACTAGTTTCTCGCCGATTCTGCCTATGTGCTCTGACTTTGCCTTGGCAATGACTCTTTTGAATGACCTGGAGGCGGAATTATACTTCTTTTTTAGAGCGCTGGTGTTTACATCCCGGGACGTTGTGGCGTCAGCCCAGGCTTGGTAGCACTCCTGCTTATAGCATGATGCTATTTTACAGGAGCGACCAAACTATGGCTGGGATTTGCCTTCAATGGGCACCACATAGGAATGAATAAAAAGTTTCATCGGATCGTCCGGCAAGAAGCAAACCCACCCCCAAGGGTAGGATGCTAAGAAAGACCGCATCCTATCCCAATCGGCTGACCTATAGTGCCAAACACGGCGGCAGCCTGCAGATAGCAACTGCGATTTCAGCGTGAGTATATAGGCATAGTACATAGGCACCACACTCCAGACAAGACTATGGTCCGAGAAGCCTAAAGAGGCGTCAACGGAAATCTGATATCCGTCCAGGTGGTGGTCCTCCACATCTGGAATCCGCGTAGGTGAAGTAACCAGTTGAGTCAAAGTCTGAAAGCCTCTAATTATACTAGATCTCTATACTCTTCAGACTGGAACACAGCAGTGTAAGCACTACAATTCAGCGGCAGAAATATTTAAGAGGATGGTACCTATCCAAACCGACTTATAGGCAGAAAAAGATTCTGATAGGATTTTTGTACCGTATTTTATGCTATGTTCACATGCACGCCGTGCAGCCCGGCGGGCTGCCTGGCGGGCTGCGCGGCATGCAGCCCGTCCCAGGCCGGCGAAAATTCAAGCTGTTCACACACACGCCGTCGTCACGTCGCACGCACGTCAGTCAGTGCCAGCATGGCGGGCAGCGAGGATCTCGGTGTTGTTGCTTCCATATCCTTTGGCTTAAATTATTTTTATTGGAAAAAGAAACAAAATGATGAACGACGGAGAAAAAGACTGCAAAGAAGAAGGTGGTGGATGATAAAAGTTCACTACTTCAATGTTCCCATTAGGGTCTCCTTTTTTGTTTTCAAATCCTTAATTGATACATTTAGTATTCTACCAATTTTCGTCCAAGCATTGTGAATTTTTTCTTGTCCTTATGGAATTTATGTTCGGGGTTCCATAATATTTCTTCTTCCTGGTAATGTTCCAGGAACGTCAAAATTGTCTCGTTTGACCATTCCACCATGTTGTAATCTCCGATCGTAGCGACTTTTTTAGCAACGTTAAAGATCCACTCGTCACGAAAGCGCGAGAGAGACTGACTGCCCGCGCGCGTGAAAACAGTCACCGGGCGCCCGCACATTCGTCCATTGAACTTTTCCAAAATACCGACACCCACCCGGTTCGCGGCATTTACGTTCACAGTCGCGTTTACGGGCTCGGGCGTACCGTTTACACGCTCGGGAATGTGAATGTCCACGTTGAACGTCAAGTTGAACGCGCGCGTGTGAACATAGCATAACAATTAGAGCAATTTATTTACAAAAATTTAAAAAAAGGTTAAAAAAAATGTCGTATTTGAGGCACCATTTTTGCTCGAGATTTGTTGTTGTTGCTATTGTTGTTGTTTTAAGAAAAGTTACCTCTACACTAGGATTTTTTCCTGTATCGTAGGAGCAGTTTACAAACATAAATTGTACAAGGACAAACATCCAGATGCGGAACAATTCCTTGGTGGCCATACAAATAATTGTTCCGTGCGAGATTCATACCCGCGAACCCCAGCGCAGTCACTCATTGCTAAGCCACTGCGCCACGGATTCGTCAAACAGAATTACATATTCTTGAAATAGTATAAATATTTTTGTTGTATTAAATTGTATGTATTTGTATTGCGCATACAATAAACACTTAATGAAATTCTTAATGAAATAGATTCTTAAAATACTTTATATTAATAGTTAAAAAAATATTGTTGATAGTGTGCCTTATTGTAGTGGCAGTGTGGCGAGAGCTCGTCTGGTAGTACACACAGAAAGTCTTTGTTAGTGTGCGTTATTGTAGTGGCAGTGTGGCGAGAGCTCGTCTGGTAGTACACACAGAAAGTTTTTGTTAGTGTACGTTATTGTAGTGGCAGTGTGGCGAGAGGT